TTTTTCTTTCCAACTGTTTCAGTTGAACACTCTTCAAATGAAAATTATTCAATCTCCAACTTGATTACACAAGATTAGTGTAAATTTAAACAAAGATTTTCACTAATCAAATTTCTAAAACCCATCATTTTACCTGTATTTTTGTATTTTAATGAAAATACTTCGGATGGCGTTCTTCAATACCTAAATTACTCATTTCCTAATTCTCGTCCTAATACCTGAAATAAACAACACTTCTACAATATTTGATACATAAAATGTATTTCTTTGATCAATACTACTGTTGTTTTAATCAATACGAAGTGAGTTGGTGTCTTCATGACAAAAACAATAATATCTTTAGTACTTTTAAAATCTAACTAGTGAGAAGGAAAGCACAACAGAATCGTTGGTTATTAACATTATTTAACTATATGTCAATCTCCAAATTCCAAAGTAACTTTTAAAACTTTTAAACATCCCAATCTCTCAAGTCTCAACCACAAGAGACGAAAACACTTATTCTTATCTAGAACATCATCAGCAACCAACACAACGGATCAGCAACACGCACATCATTTCATAAGTGACTTTGTCAAATGCTCTCTTGCAGTCGCGAACGCCTGACTTATCGTCTGAAGCGTGATAAACCACAGAGAAATGTAACAAGTTCTTTAGTTTGGGAGGACGGATTAATGTATTTTATTTACTTCAAGGATTTGTATCAAGAAGATGTAAATGTAAAGAAAATTATTATAATGATTTGTTGTATAAAAGACACAGTACCTGCTCCGATAGAGGAGCGTTAGGGTCAGCGCTATTGATCCCTGCTTTTCCTGCAATCACATTTGCATCCGTCTCCAGAATAATACTGAGATATAAGATTGTATTAGAGAATATTATAAACCTACGAAACAGTTCATTTATCAAATGGTTCTAGAAATTTCAAAAGGAGAAAATTTCATACCCGCCATCAATAATTTCATCAATGCATAGAAAGATGAGGTCAAGATTGTCTAGTGCCTCCCTCTTATCAACACTACCTCTGTGATTTGGGGTTTGAAAGAAAGGAATGTCGAAAAATCGAGCTAATTTGGGAATGTAGAAATAACAGAACAAAATCTGAAGCTGTGACTAGACAGACCTAAGAAGAAGGTTCACTGCATCAAAGAGTCCCTGAAGCACACTGGCTAAGATAAGCTCGTTTTCCTCTTCACCACCCGTAACAAAGAAATGGACATCTTCCACAAATTTGTACACAATTATGTTCTTCTCCAGTGCCATCACTTCCACTGCATATAAAGAAGTAGCAATTTGTTGATAACTAAATGCCAGCATTAAAAGATACAACAACTACAAGTCCATCCAGACATAAATAATCAGATTTTTTAAAAAGACTTTGATGAAAGATACGCAACAAGACACTGAGTATTTAAAACAGGACCCACGACGAAACCTACCTTCAGTACGGGCATTTGTTTTCTGAGTCTTTGTGAACACAGTTTTTTCAAATGCTTCCTTTGCTGTATTCGTCGGCCAGTCATCTGAGTAATACTTCACCGCTATACGCTTTCCTTCAGAATCCAGAAGCAAAATGTTTTTCACTTTTGGGGGCAACTCCTATGAACAAAAACAAAACACATGAAAGCAATAAGATTGTGAGATATTGCAAAACACAAGATGGTCTTAGGACATAAGCGTAGAGAAAAAGGCTTATGATAGTACACTTAACAGCTGAAAGTAACTGAACATGGATCAGTGTCACTAGTACAGTAAGCAATCCTCACTCATACATGCATGTACGAGCAGTTGTCTTCACATAAGAAACAAACAAACCGATAAAAATTGTCTAACACCTAGTGAGTGAGTATACAAGAATCGAGAGTATATCAAGTAGCAAAGACAAGGCTTAATTATCCATTTCACTATGGAGGAAAATATCAATCTAATGGCACTCCAAATGAAAAAAATTATAAACCAATGTTAATAAGATCGAACAAAATCTCGTAGAATATGTCCGCATAAACATAAAACATTGAACCAAATGCGCTATATGAATCCCAGAAACATCTATACAAGGTCTTAAGAAGATCCAGAAACATCTATTCCAAACTTATCTACAAAATTCAACATGCAATCAGAAACAAAATCAATGGAGCACCATCAACATATGTGTTGAACAATTCTAAACCATTAACCGAAAAGCAAACCAAAGATTTTGATGAATAATCAGTCATACAACAAAACCAACTCAAATTAGCTCCTATGGCCTCAAAATAAAGCCAAAGTCTTGAACTTTTCGCTATCAGGATCATCAATAAACAAAATTTTACAGAGATCTAAGACGATCATGTTATGGAGCGGGTTAACTCTGGATTTCGCAGACGAAACAACAATTTACAAAATCTGAAAGTTTTATCATGCATTCAAATGAAAGTTCGTAACTTTTTTTGGGTTTTCCGATTATTTCCATGGGGACAAAAGAGTAGATTTATACCATGGCTTAAGGAGACGAAAACGGGGGAGAAAAAATCTGAGAGAAAGCCCTAGAACTTAAAGAGAGGAGCTTTTCCTCGAATAACAGAGGAAAATCTCTGATACGTTACAATTTTAAGGCCAATTTATATTTCCACGAATGTCAAACAAATTCCAATAAAGACTCGATTTTTCTCACTTAATTATTTGCTTTTTCTTCGTCTAGTCAACTTGTACGTGATTAATAATTTATGTAGAGTTTATAGTTTAAAAAAGTTGTGAGATTTTATGGTAAATTTTTATGGATTATCATTAATTTTTATCATATCTTTTTATGGATTATTGTGGATTGGTATAGATTTGTATAAACTATTTTTTTATTTTGTATTTATTAAGCTTGTATTAGTTTGATAATTAAGTTGGGATTAGTTTGTTAGAAGATTAAGTCTCAAGTCTATGTATATCTTGTAAATACTTTTTGGGTTAATGAGAAAAATTATTTTATTCAAGAGTTATTATGGTATCCGAACATTAATTGTTTTTTCTCATTGATTTTTTCGAGAAATTTTTTCCTAACAGAATCTAACAAGAATCACCATCATCATCTCTCAAATTTCTTCTTCCGCTTTTTTGATTCGATCTCAATCTATCAAAAACATCATCATCTTTTTCAATTTGAGATTCGCTTTCTCAGTTTTTTTAGCTCACATGAGTCTATCGCTTCGC